GGATGGGTCAAGGAAGTCTAATTTGCGGTCATATCGATTAGACATTGAACCTGTCCAACCGGACTGGAAGGCGAGTATGATAAATTTTCACTTTTTATTTGAAGACAAGCAACGTTCTATGGTGGAATATTCCTGGCCAGGAATTGATGGTCCTGGTCCTTCCTCAGTACGATTTGGAGCTCCGGCTGAGCGTATTCATCAAAGTAAGACAGACAGCATCCACCTTCATTTTGTATGGCTGACAATAAACTCAGAACCCATGGACCATTACCTTCATAATATGGATGCCTGTATTTTCGGAGAACAGCGTGCAGAAACACATCGACTCATCTTGAGGGAGGGAACCAAAACTATGGCAAAGTATATGGGTGGATGGCCACGAATGCCTCTGATGCATGGTATATGTCTTCCGTCTACAATCAAAGGTCAGTTTGACATACTAGTTTGGTCATGTACAATCCTAACTTTATTATGTGTACCAGTGCCTACTTGGGATGTACAGCATCACTTTCTACATTCAGATCAAGTGTCAGCCATACCTTTAGAACAATTATGGCACCAACCTCTAAAGACTGGTTGTGACATATTATCTTGGAAGGATGAGATTTCTGCGGGAAGTTTTGTGGCAGTTGCATTTGTTCCTACCCGGACAGAGGATCCTGAAAATGGACGACCAATCCTGAAACGATACTTACACGGAGTTTATATTATCTTACCTCCTACTGTCTAAATATGTATCTTATCTAATTCGACCTCTTTGGCTGGCAAAAAATAACACATGCAATTATCACATGGATATAAGTTCTGCCTGTACCCGGTTTGCTAGAACGACTGTACACCCTGTTTCACCTACATCAAATGAAATTGATCACAAATGAAATTGATCACACACTAGGGGATGAAACATTTAATATCTGTCTTTCTACACTTATAAAAGCACAGGTGTTTGCTGCTACACTTTCTCTTCCTAATCCCCATCATCCGCAAACCTCACATTGACTTATATTCATACCCCTCATCGTCTACAGACCTCACATCATGAATAAGACCACTTATTCATACATTGCCACAACATTATGCATTCTGACAGCATGCCCTATCTCATTCTTCCTAAATTGGAGTATAGCCAGCCTCAAAGATGGGCTTTCTATGCTTTTGGCTATTATGTCATCCATTATTCTATCCTATGGGATATACAAGTTAATCATACAAGTTATATTTGCACAAGATGTACAATCATTTGATGCTGCACAAGCTGTATCTTCACAGGTTGACTTAGAACGTATTGTTCAAGTCGGTGGAGCATACGCACCCAAACGTTATAGCTTTACATTGTTACGGTCATATAAACCTGACCTTTCTGAAGAATACAAAGAAACCTTCTTTCATTTTGAAACCATGGTACGGATAAATAATATACATCCTAAGTATATGACACATCCATATGTGGTTGTCCAAGTGCCTTTACACATACTGCTCAATGAAAGCAAAGATACACTAGGGTCTATTGCCAGACTTCATGGCATACCTGTTCATTCAAGAACACCTGTTGCCTCAGTACGGGAGTCCCTTGAGAAACATCAGACCTGTGATATTTGTAGATCCACTATATTTATATTTTATATTGCTACCTCAACACTATCAAGCACTGAGCGTTCCACAAATCACAAGCGCCGCCACATTGATAATAACACCAATAGTGTGCCCATGACCAATAATGGTACAAAGAATAAACATAAACCAACAAACAATGATAATGTGTACACAGAACTGTTCCCGCCACGGCCGCCATCAACCTCAGTATTAACACATATTGTAAACTCATTTTGTGAGGCGTTGGAACCAGACAATGTTATGGAAGAAGGATGTGCTGTTTGCGGTTTGCTTTCATTGACTAAAACCATGATACCTTTGTCTGATGCCAAGATCAATATATCACTTTTATCACACAACAATAGTAAACTTACTCGTAAAGAACGATTTACAATTGATGACCCCATTGAAGATATTGACGGTCCTGTTATAGATCATAATTGTAATAAAATATGCACAGAATGTTATAATAAGCTCAAGAAAAATAAAATACCCGCAAATGCACTTGTTCTAGGTAACTGGATTGGAGATGTACCCAGAGTTATGAAGGGGCTGTCAATGGCAGAAAAGATGATGATATCTAGGGTACATCATAATTGATGTATTGTGCGAGTTGCAAAGTCCGGACAGCATCGAATGAAAGGAAATGCTATATGTTGGTCTGTGCCTATGCCCAATATATATAAAGCCTTACCTCCTACACCAGAGGAAATGAACGAAGTACTTGCATTTGTATATTTAGGGCCAGAAAAGCCTACAGAAGATGATTATAAACGTACCCCATTACTAGTACGCAAAAATAAAGTAAAGAATGCCTTGGAATGGCTCAAATTAAATCATGATCAATATCATGATTTGACAATAGCTTATGATGTGTTGGACCGATATTCAGAGAATACACCAATAGTAGTCACTGATTATAGACATTCTGATAATCCTATACAGCCGGAAGCAACTGCAGTGACAGGAGATGAGTCAGAAGAAGGAACAGAGACAGGGCCATGTACCTTTCAAGTTCATGGCCTAGTGGGATCTGACTTGGAGCACATGAATACACAGCAATATAAGGCAGAGGCATTGAAGCATTTATTGCATGGAGGTACCGCCCTGGGTATTGGTAGGTCAGAAGAACCTGAAAGTTTATGGGATAATCCTACTTTGTATCCTCAAATATTCCCTTGGCTATTTCCATATGGTAAAGGAGGTATTGGTCATGCACTAGCTAAGAATAAGGTAGAAGATCACACACGTAAAGGGCAATTACTACTTTACCATGACAAACGCTTTCAAGTTGATCCTATGTTTCCATTGGTTGCTTTAAATCATGAACAAATCAAACAATGTGCTCAAGCTGGTAATCTTTTGACTAACAAAGCTAATTTTAACTCAGTAGCAGATTGCTTGGTTAATTTAGATCAGTCAACCTTACTGTCTCTGATTGAAAAAATGAAGGAGGGTAAACTTGTTAAAACGCAGACTCAAGAAGAGAAGGACTGTTTTAGAGTAATTTCAGACATTGATTACGTAGCACAACATGTGTCAAACTCTAGAACTAACCAAAAGTATATGCGAAATGAAGCGTGGGCACTTGTTCATTATCTTGGGGCCCCTCACTGGTTCATAACATTCTCTCCTACGGATAATAAACATCCATTATGCTTATATTATGCAGATACAGATGAAAAAATATACCCCAATATTTGGGATAATACAGCTAGAATGAAGCTTATTGCAAGAAACCCAGTGGCATCAGCCCGTTTCTTCAAAGTTATAGTGGACTTGTTCATTAAATATGTCTTAGGCGTTAATAATCCTGATAAACTTGGATTGTATGGTGAAACGGAAGGATATTACGCCACTGTTGAGCAACAAGGTCGTCTCATGCTACATTTACATGCTCTTCTTTGGATCAAGCATGGATTAACACCTCAAGAAGTGCGTGATCGTATTCTCGATGAAAATTCTGACTTTCAGACTCGATTGGTACAATACATTGAAAGTGTACAGAAAGGAGAGTTTTATACAGGTACAATGGCCACAGTAGCTGTAAGAGCGCGTGAGGAAGAAGCATCGCCTAACTATCAATGTCCCACACTTTGCCTTCCTGAGAAAGCTCCTGCTCCATGTGAACCTCACTTTAGCAATGAGTCAGAAACAGAATGCTTAAAGTGTACTACCAGCAACTCTTGGTGGTCTAATGTGTTTCAGAAGGTGGTAGATATCATTTTATTTAGATCAAATAGACATAGCTGTGAAAAAGGAGGGTGTAAAACCAATAAGCTTCATAACTGTAAAGCACGATTTCCAAGGGACACCTATCTTGAATCTTCCATTGATCCTGACACAGGAAGTCTCCGGCTACGCAAAGGAGAGGCCTGGCTGAATACATTTTCACCTATCCTGACCTTTCTCATGAGATGTAATACAGATGTCACTAATCTATTGTCAGGTACAGCTATTAAAGCTGTTATAGCTTACACAACTGATTATATTATAAAGCCAGGTTTGCAAACACATGTAATGTTTGATGCTGTTAAAACTGTATTTGAAAAAAATGAAGACATTCTTCATGGTGATGCTAGTAAAGGAGTAAAGGCACGCCAACTCATGGTAAAGATTGTAAATGCGCTAACCGCCCGTAAAGAAATTGGTGCTCCTATGGCTTGTCTTTATCTTCTAAGACATCCGGACCATTATACAAACTTTAAGTTCATTGTATGGTATTGGCCACAATTTGTTAATCATATAAAAGAACAGTTTGGTATTCCTTTATATGGATCTGACAAAAACAGAGATAAGGTTACTATCCGCAGGGTAGAAGAGTCAATTGTATCATTGTCCCCTGTTATTGACTATATATACAGGCCATCTATATATGGTGATGTTTGTCTATATGACTGGATAACTATGTATACAAAGAAGTATTGTGGCCCTGCACGCTCAAGAAGAACTAAAAATACAGTAAATAAAATAAGTAATAATGAAGCAACAACACATCATATCATTCAGGAGGATGACAGTGCTGATGAGCTTGATTTATTCCGGCACATATCTCCAGATACCACAGAATGTATACCTGTGCCTGTAAATACTGAACAACCTTCACAGAGCTCATCAAACACTGTATATTCTGATGATGAAGACACATCTGAAACTATAGTTCCAGATGATAAAGAAGATACTGATGAAGATCCTGCAGACATCATGAGTGTTGATGAAAATGAGTTCATCCATAATACTAAGACATCCAAAGGAAAGAGTGTAAAAAGGTCCAAACCAAGTAAACCTATACATCAATTCCTTTCTGAACACCCGAGCTGGAAAATATATGACATTATTAAACGGGAAGAAAACATGGTCCCAATACTGACAGGAGGAACACTTCCACGTAAGGATGGAAACCGTGAAGACTACTGTTTAACAATGCTGGTATTTTTCAAGCCATGGCGTTCTGGCAAGGATCTCAAAGCCAATACAGAAAACTGGGATACTATATTTCGATCTCATGATTTTACAGAAAGACAAGTGACTATCATGAAGAACTTCCATATAAAACATGAATGTCATGATGCAAAAGATGATCATTATGCACAAAGAAAGAAAAATGCAGTTAACTCTGGTCATCTACCTGGCAACATATCTGACTATATTGATGACATGCATTATCAAAGTGAAGTAGACAAGTATGAAGACTCAGAAGATCTACTGGAACATGTAAGAAAACAGTCTAATAAAGAGGGCCGTGGGTATCAGAATAATAAGAACTTGATGAATCTAATGAAGAGTAAATTAATATTGACAGGGTGGACAGATAGAACTGATGTAGATATAGCATGTCCTCAATTTGAGCATTTTGACTCTGGTTTAAATTCCACCGCACAGTGGAGTGATTTACTTCAGACAAAGAAAGAAGAGGTTATTCGCCTTCGAACTGAAACAATTGCAAAAGAAAAACAAGTTATGGCTAAGCAAACTGAAGATCAGATAGACTGGGTCGATACCGTTAAAGAGGTGGATCGGTCTTACTTACAAATGGACTTTCAAATGCAGAAAAAAGAGGATAAACAGCTTACTACAGCAACCATCATGAAATTTTCCTTGAATGAAGAACAAGAGCGAGCTTTTAGAATACTTGTAAATCATGCAACTCACCCAACTGGAGAAAATTTACTATTATATGTTTGTGGTATGGCTGGTACAGGAAAATCACAAGTAATCAAAGCATGGAAACATTTCTTTAAACGAAAGAATCAACCTTTTAGATTTATGGTTATGGCTCCAACAGCCTCTGCAGCTGCTGTTGTAGGGGGTTCAACTTATCATTCCACGTTAGGCTTTCAAAAATCAACCCCTATGAAAACTGTGTCGGCCTTGAATACTGTCAGAGAGCGATTAGACAATGTAGACTATATATTTTTAGATGAAATATCCATGGTAGATTGCACCAGCTTTTATGAGATGAGTGCTCAGATGTGTATAGCTACTGGTCTTATTGACTATCCTTTTGGGTCAAAAAACTTTGTCATTGCAGGTGACCCTGCTCAATTACCACCAGTTAAAATAGCTGGCCCAGCATTATACAGTGACACTGTAGGTTCTGTCATACATAGAACACATGCTCTCAAAATACAAAAACAATCTATGGGAAAAGCATTATATCATCAGTTCATTCATGTGGTTATGCTTCGCCAAAATATGAGGCAGAAGGGACAGTCAGCAGAGGATGCTGCCTATAGAACAGTATTGGAAAATCTACGGTTTAAGAAATGCACACAAGCTGACTTGGATCTTATGTTAACACGTGTTGCTGGGAGAGGTCCTAACAATCCTAAAATATACGATAAGAATTTCAGATCAGTTCCTATTATCACTGGCCGTAACGCTGCACGAGATCAGACTAATATTACAGGAGTAGGTCTCTTTGCAGCAGACACAGGTCAACAATTAACCACCTTCTATTCTATAGATAAATTCAGAACATGGGCTGATACCGAAAAGAAGATTGAACGTAAAAGAGGAAAGAAACCAGTTGATTTGACTAGACAGACTGATGATGTAAATGGAAACATCCAGGAGGCCCTATGGAATTTATGGCCATCAAGAACAGAGCATCATCCTGGTATGCTTCACCTGTGTAAGGGCATGCCTGTTATGATAAAAGATAACCAAGCCACTGAACTCGCGGTCACAAATGGTGCTGAAGCAGAAGTTGTTGATTGGACATCACATCTACTGCCCGATGGAAAACCTGTGTTAGATATACTGTTTGTCAAGTTGAAATACCCACCCTTTACAATTAAAATAGAAGGTTTACCAGACAATGTTGTACCAATCAAAAGATTAGCAAAGGATATTAAATGCGGTATGAATGACGATACCACTATTTTGATAACACGTGATCAAATCCCTATTGTACAAGATTTTGCCATGACAGACTTTGCATCACAGGGAAGAACTAGACCATATAATCCAGTTGATCCTGAATTCTGTCTAACACATCAGTCTCTATATACAGCTCTTTCTCGAAGTTCTACCCTATCTGGAACTATATTATTACAGCCTATTGATCCTAAAATTGTTCAGGGTAAACTTAATCGTCCACTTAAACAGGAATTTAGGGAGCTTGAGATTCTTGATGATATCACTAAGCTTAGATACTTGGGTAAACTCCCTAGCAATATCAATGCAAATACTAGAGGTCAGCTGATAAAACAGTTTCTTGATTGGAAAGGCAACAATTATATACCTTCCAAAACACCAAGTTGTTTACATTGGAATGATAAAGATCCACTATATCCTACATCAATGCCAAATAGAACTACTCCATGGCAGTACCTAGATCGTTATCAATTAGATCATGATGTTGATAATACGTCAGACACCAATCATAATTTAGAAACTGATGATATGAATGCTGATATTCCTAGTGATCCTCCTCTAGATCACTTTGTCACTGCTAAAGGTACAGTCTCACTTGGTACTATAAGCAATGACAGGCCAAATGTAGCCAATAAGAAAAAGCGTAAAAGAACTGTATCCACTACTAGACAAGGCCCAGATGTACATTCATGGAACGCTACAACCTGGAGCTGTGCATATGACAGTATCCTTACAATACTAAGACATATATATGTCAATAATACAATGATGTGGCTAAGCCGCTGGGCCAACATGAATGAATATATTCATTATTTAACAGTATCATGGGAGGACCCCAAGGTAGATTTGAACGTAATCAAAGATGCATTACAAACAAGAATGCATGCATTTAATGCTACAGATTTTCCATGTGATAATACAAGGGGAACTGATATACATGCCTTGTGTAGAGAGTTATTCAAGGATGATTTAAATAAATACTATCAGATTATCAAGTGTTGTGTTTGCAACCTACAACTTCCTTCAAAACAGTATACAAATTATCATTGGGATATAACATCGACCAGGAAGAGCTCAGTTGCCATTGCTGTACGGTCATATCTTCATAATACCAATAAAAAGTGCCGGTGTAGGGAACCACTGGTATCTCATATTGAGTTTGGATCATCTCCTCCTCCTGTAGTTGTGTTGGTAATGTCACAAACAATGCAAATATCTAAAACATTTTCTATAAGGCATGATGACATACCAATTAGATATATCCTATCTGGTCTTGTGTATTATGGTGGCAATCATTTCACATGTAGAGTGTTTGATAGAGCAGGTAACTGTTGGTATTCAGATGGTGCAGAATCAGGAGGAACACCTATAAAGGAGGGAAATATGGGTAATATATCTAACTTACATATAACACGTGGAAGAAACATATCATTAGCTATATATTCTATTGATGTGCTATAGGTATGCATGACTGATCACAATGATATAAGTTGTACAATGACCTGCACTCCGTGACTCCTGCTCCGATCTGGTGTGCCTTTTATTCTTGACTTGGGCAAATCTTCAGAACAATATTGAGGGGGCAAGGTCAAAGAGAACATCTCAAGTCCAAATTTGAGGACTAGAGATAAGAGGTATACATAAAAGATTGAAAGAAGACCAATGGTTGCTGTGTATATAATCAAACCCACCTAAGGTAGAAATCATTATAGACTGCAGAATGACTGTCAGGCATAGGTGACTCCTGACCAGGAAGCAGATATTGAATACAAGTGTTACCAAATTATGCTGACAGTGATTCTGTTCACCAATCTAGAGAGGGGCATGATTTTCTGTCTATCTCATCACTATCCATACAGATGCCGCACTTGAGTAGTTAAGTAATCAATTGTCTAGACAGACACAATGATAAAGATACAGAGACACATATATTCACATCGTTATGATTATAATCTGTACTTATTATGAGTAAAATAAATCATAAACACATCTTAAAAGATATAAAGTACAGGACCATACCATGATAGTTAGACATGTAGAAGCACTCTTGCAAGACATTACTCAGGAGTACCCTGAGCGTGCAAATAAGTGATTTGACACTTTGAGAGCTGCAGTACAATCATCCCCAGACGAAGAAAGTATCATGAAAAAGTTTAGGATAACTTTCTTGGATCAGGTTGTTAAAACTCATGCAAGTCTTACCACTTGCCATAAGTCTGCCAATTGTGATGTCCTATACATCCTTAAGCTGTATTTATGTGGTGTTTCTCTTCGTAGGCAGTCCTTTGCCAGCCGGCTTGCTGTTTAGTGCTCCAGGTATGTACAAGATAACTTTGATGATTTTTTGCATCATGTTGCAATGCGTACCGGTCTGAATGTTTATGTTTACGGAAGAGTTGTCAATCAATACCATACCAGGAAGGGAGGATATCTCTCTTGCTGATCTGAATACTCAGAGTCCGGGTCACACACCACTTGTCAATGGACATCTTGCACTCCCACCATATGAAAATGACAACACACAGGGACATTGTACGTTAATTTTGCTGTATATTCTCTTCAATTCCCAGGTTACCTCACCACAATCCCCACTTTGTTTGAAACAGTCTTTTCCCCTCAATCTAGCCCACCTCTCATCTTTGACATACCCCTCCCCCAGACAATAACTCACCCAGACTACTCTGAGCCCATACAGTCAAAACCAACCAAGATTGACAACGAACGATTGTGGACTCCACCGAGCAAGAAGTGTCTGGCACCACAACCACATCACCTTCATTACCTTTATATATGTTAAGACCCAAAACATGATGAACTATGCCTGAATAGGATGAAGCCAGAGGAAATTAGTCCCCATGACATCTCAGTCTAAGGTCGAAACCAAACTAAGATTGACAACAAACCATTGTGGACTCCACCGAGCAAGAAGTGTCAGCGACCAAGTCCCCGATCACCTGGCGCCACAACCACATCTCCTTCACTGGCGTTAGGGGTCTGCAAGAACCTTGCATTGCCCGAGGCCTGCCAAACCTAGCAAAGAAAAGAACCAAAAGAAAAAGGTAGTTTAAACTGATTTACCTTCGTTCCTCAGGTATCGGAATCACCTTTATCTTGCCACTCTCTTTCTACATGGAATTGCAATTCGATTTTCATGAAGCCCCGGGATTCATCACTGGATTGTGAAACTGGTCCGCTCTTCTGTCTATACCATGATAGTTAGACATGTAGAAGCACTCTTACAAGACATTACTCAGGAGTATTATATCAGTAGAAAATAGTCTGATGCAAGAGCAAATTAATATTAAAGAGTTTATCCTTAAAAGTAGACATCCAATTTTGACTGGAATGATTGAAACTCCTTCACCCAACAATCCACTCTTATCAGTGGCTGCCTCATAGCATGATCATTGTTCATAATTAACCAGAACCGGCGGCTTCCCTCACATAGTGAACACATTGATCTCCTATAACTTGTCTTGGTAGGGTTTGAAATGCTTGAGAACTCTTTGATGATCTAGAATGATATATATAGAATGAGTACAATTTAAATCCCTTAACGAGGAATCGTTAGAGGGTGATTATGTGGACTTGTCCGATATTTATATAGTACCTAATTACACCGCCATCTTTTTACTTTGTAATAATACATACATATATTGTAAAAATCACTAAGGAGCTCATTCTCTTCTATGCCTTCCACATATATTATCCTTGCCATATGACATCTGCTCATGACAATGAAGGGATGGCTGGACTGTAAAGTCTCAAAGCATGTTGAGCATCTGTACTGCTTTGAATACATCAGACACTCTACAGATGTAAGTCGATGCTTGTTAAAGTTACCAGGTCTTGATAATCATGCCCGCAAGAATGGCACTTTGAGTTGGCCTACATCCCTTCATCATAACACGGTCAACCACACTACCAACACCAACAACAACACCAACACCAACTTGAGCATGTTTCAGTCATAGATGTAAGCTATTTAGAAAGGTACCTGCTAGTAAGAAGGGTATCCTTTACAATGGTTCCTTTGGCCCAAGACTTATAAATGCCAATACTGGGCTGGCTACTGGAGCGGCCGGGGGGTGTTTCTGGGTGGCCGGGTGGCCTAGAGTGAAGGGGTGGTCCTGATGGTAGAGTAGGAGGTCTTTACTTGAACTTTCAGCCCCTTGGTCCCTACTGGGCAATACATTTGCAACATATTAGTGGAGTCAATGTATGCAATACAGGACTGGTGATGACGGGTGGGAAGATGAGAGATAGTCAATAGTGACTCACAGGGGCTACTTATCATCTATTGAACTTCATCGTGATATGTTCCTAAGAAGAAGTCGTCATACAAGGATGACATGTTTATTGTACCACCACCATATTTTCTTTGCGGCCCAACAACAACTACATCACAGCTTCTTACCATAAGACCTGCACTACACGTTCTTGGTTTTGCTCACATGTGAGGTTAGGTTAGGTTAGGTTAGGTGAGGTTAGGTTATCTCACAAGGAGTGAATGAGATCTATTCTGGTCTAATGTCAACTCAATGGTAAAGATCATGCTTGTTTTTCTCAGCGCAAATTCACTCACAAATAGGTTGAGTGAGCAGTATCGAATCACTTGCAGTACTGGGCTAGTTACGGAGGCGGTCGGGGGGTGTTTCTGAGTAGCCCGGTGGCCCAGGGTGATGGGGTAGGGCGTACAGGGGTGGTCTTGGAGGTAGAATAGGGGGTAGGGAATAGGGTAAGGGTGCTGGGAAATGGGTAGGGCAGGTGGGTAGAGCATATATAGTGAAACAGGCTGGGTTATGTATGGATAAAATGAGGAATATGGGCAGGGGTGGATAGGAATGGAACAGTAGCCGATAAAAAACGGAAAAATGGTAGAATAATAGAGGAGATGGTAGTGTGGGACCTGGGTGTACTGGATATCTAGGGGGTAGATCAGTAGGGTAATCGGGTGATCTGGAGGTGTTTCAGTAACTTTGTGAGATTTGTGAATTAAGAAGAATGGATCACATTGCCAAGTGTCGCTTTGATGGAATTGACGTATAGAATGTAAATTGTGGCCCAATTTTGACAACATGAAGTAGGTCGATTTTAAGGCTTCCATCTATATGATAATCATTGATAAATGTATAATATGGTCTAGATCAAATTTGTAATGAATTGGTCCATTATTTACAAAGCTATAGCATAAATAGTCAGCAAGATATTGCCCTATCAAGGTGGAAGCGAGTGGGCAGGCCAGAACTATTGCCTTGGTTTTTGCTGTGATGAGTAGTCCTATATGAATACTAGGTGATAGGGAGAAGTCTGGACACAAAAACAATTATTGTGACCTTGGTAGTGGTGCTGGGTCTAGAGGAGGAGGAGGATAACATCTACCCTGGGGGTATTACAATGGTTATAATGTTTGATGGTATGGATGTGATGATTACAAGTTTTTGGCACCATTCTTGTTGTGGTAATCCAGTTTAAATTTTTATAAATATTTTTCAAGCACCAAAACAGCCGCGGATGAATGGTGTAAAAATAAAAACCATGTTTTTGATGGGGGAGCAGGTGCACAGGCAGTATTGGGTGTGTATATAGTCCAGATCTCTCTCAAATGCAGTGTGATTGTGGTGTGGTGTAGTACAGGGCCAGGATACATCATACATAATGTTTTTGGGTGATCCAAGGGTGCTTGAATTTATGAGGTATTTGTGGACCAATACTCATTGGATATAAGCTCTACGTATCAAGAGGTAGATGTCCAAAACCGGATCTGAAGTGATCAACCAGTGTACACCTCTCAAAGTACT